GGACTCTCTCCAATCTGTCCACAGCTAGGGGTGTGCAAAGCGGGCCCTATTCAATTTGGATTCTGCCAAACCAGGGACAGCGATTTGATTCATTAATTCGGATCGCTGTCCCCGATTTGATTCGGGTGAATCTGAAGATTTGATGCTGATTTGGAGAATCAGTGATTCAGACATAGACACACATTTAAAAGTTTTTTCTACATACCTTGAGGTAGCAGGTGTGGCTTGTGATTGCTGCAACGCTGGGGCGCATGGAGCATCCTACAGGAGTGTGGGGGGACCCTCCATGTGCTTGGCGGCAAACCTGGAATTGGACTGGAAGTAGTCCACTTTCGAGTCCGCCAGGGAGCATGCTGGGTCCCCCCCCCGCCCCGCACCTCCCTGGCTCGGCAATCAGCTGCAGGGGGACCCCAGGTACCCACCCAACCCAGAAGGCACCAGTCACCAAGCCGGGGAGTCCAAAAGTGGACCAGAAGTCTTTCTGGTCTACTTCCGGGTCTGCTGCCAAGCACGCTGGGGAGCCCCCCATGCTTCTGTGGGACACTCCATGCACCCCAGCATCACAGCACTCGCGAGACACCTGCTACCTAGAGGTATGTAGAAAAAATATTTAAAGCTGTCTCTATGTCTGAATCCCCGAATCTTTCCAAATTTCTCCAGATCGATTCTGAGGGTTCCCATTCAATACAGAGCGGTTAAAGGGTCCTCTGATTGAATTCAGATTTGGAGATTCGGCCACCAAATCAGGCTGAATCTCCGCCAAATCAAATCAGGGACCGAAGCTTCGCACAGCCCTATCCACAGCCTTTCTTTGGTGGGGGGCCAAAAGCTGGACATAGTACTCCAGATGTGGCCTCACCAGTGCAGAAGAGAGGGGAATAATTACTTCTCTTAATCTCCTGGCAACGCTCCTACTAATGCAGCCCTGTTAGCCTTCTTGTCAACAAGGGCACATGGCTGACTCATATCTATCTTATTGTCCACTATAACCCCCAGGTCCTTTTCTTTAGAGCTGCTGCTTAGCCAGTTGGTCCCAAGCCTGTAGCGGTACATGGGATTGTTCTGTCCTAAGTGCAGGACTTTGCACTCGTCCTTGTTGAACCTCATGTGATTTCTTTTGTCCCAATCCTCCAATTTGTCTAGGTCCCTCTGAATCCTACCCCCACCTGCTAGCATATCTACTACTCCCCCCAGATTGGTGTCACCTGGGAACTTGCTGTGGGTGCACTCTATCACACTTCATCCAACCCAGACTTCCTCAGCTTGCCTGCAAGAATGCTGTGGGAGACTGTATCAAAAGCCTTGCTAAAGTCAAGTTACACCACATCCACTGGTCTCCCTGCATCCATAGAGCTCATCATCTCATCATACAAGGCAATCAGGTTGGTCAGGCATGACTTGCCCTTGGTGAATCCATGCTGACTGTTCCTGATCACTTTCCTTTCCTTGAAGTGCTTAGAAATGGATTCTTTGAGGATCTGCTCTAAGATTTTTCTGGGGACTGAGGTGAGGTTGACTGGTCTGTAGTTCCCTGGAACCTCCTTCTTCCCTTTCTTAAAGATGGGAACTATATTTGTCCTTTTCCAATTGTTCAGGACCTCCCCTCGATCACCACAAGTTTTCCAAGATAACAGCCATGGCTCTACAATCAACATCATCCAACTCCCTCAGCACCCTTGGATGCATTGCATCTTGCCCCATGGACTCGGACATGTCCAGTTTTTCTAAATAGTCTATAAGCTGTTCTTTCACCACTGAGGGCTGCTCACCTTCTCCTGAAACTGTGCTGCCTGGTGCAGTAGTCTGGGAACTGACCTTGCCTGTGAAGATCGAGGTAAAAAAGGGATTGAGCACTTCAGCCTTCTCCTCATCATCTGTCACTAGGTTACTCACGCATTCAGTAAAGGACCCACACTTTCCCTGATGTTCCCCTTGTTGCCAACATACTTATAGAAACCTTTTTTGTTACCTTCACATCCCTTGCTAGCTGCAACTCCAATTGCACTTTGGCTTTCCTGATTCCCATCCCTGCATGCCCGAGCAATATTCTTCTACTCCTCCCTGGTCATCTGTCCAAGCTTTCACTTCTTGTCAGCTTCCTTTTTGTGTTGATATAAAGCAAGGCTTTACATCTTGATGTAAAGCAAGGCTACTTTTACACTACAGATGGGTTGCTTGCAAACATTAAAAACAAACAAGCAGTGCTTTACTTCAAACTCAGCACGTTACCATGCTGAGCCCCCGCGCATGCCCAGAAGAGGCAGCACCTTTGTTGGACCCAGCTAGCCTGATGTCTCTAAAGATGGGGTGCTTTAGTGGGGCTTCTTTGGCCTTACCTAATAGCTGATTGAATCAGTTTTAGCTGAAGTATCAAAAAGGCCCACTGAAGGGCCTGATCTATACAGATGCTGCAAAACCGGATCCAAGTAATGCACTGCTGCTTCTGGTAAAGTGCGGTTTGTTTGTTTGCTTGTTTTTTAATTTCTGAAAGCAGCCTTTTGTAATTCAGGATTCAAGAAGGATAATAAAACAATTTCAGAATCAAATGACATTTGAAAGTTTGTCTCTCTCATTTTCAGTTATCAAACTTGGTAAGTGATAAGACAAAAAAACAAGTAAGAATCTCTTTATAAGTAAGGACCATTTTTGTTGCATTATCTGAGAGAAAAGAACTTGTTTCTTTATTTCACATGTTTGCTTTAATCTTTAAGGGCACTTTTACACATGCTTCAGGGTGGGGTGGCAGCCCTTTAATTAGAGCAGCTCTTGGAGTGTCTCATGCATCACATTTTGTGTATCAGCACATTGAACAAGCTTTAGTTCAAGCACCCCCACTGCTATTTTGAAGCACCAGGACACTGATACACGAGACATGGGAAGCTGCTGGAGCACGGTAATTATCACGCTTCAGCAGACTCAGTTAATTGAATCTGCCCTGATGCACTGTAAGTACAGCGCATTGGAGCAGCCTCCATGCTTGTGTACAGGCACCCTAAGAGTGGAGTTTTCAGTTTTTGCAATTAGCTACTTCCATTTTGATTCCAAGTATCTGGACCAAATCACATGCTATTATTTCTTTCATTAGCCACTCTACCCATGTTACAACAACATGTTAAAAGCCCTGAGTAACTGTCACATGAAAGAACTCAAGATACTAACTAACGAAATCAAAACTGTGATAACATGACATCTTGTTTTTCACCTCTTCCTCCTTCATTTTGTTAGGAACCATAAACTATAAATTTATGAATTATAAACGCAGGAATTCAAAATATTATAAACTCAGGAATACAAAAACCAAGCCAAAGTTCTTTCTCCTGTTTCCAGCTAACAAACAGAAATCGTTTTTGCTTGTTTACTTGGCTGTCACTAGGTAGAGTAAGCAAGCTTTGAAAAGAAAAAAAAACTTAGCATTTCAAATCAAGAAACAAATCAAGAATACATTTAAATATAAGGTCAGTCTTTACTGCACTTCTTGAGATAAAATAACTTCTTTTTATGTTTCTCAGATAAATCATAACCATGGATTACTTTAATCTTGAAGAGCGGAAATTTAAATAAAATATATTGTCTGTCTCTCTCTCAATTCTTATTCACACTGAAGTAAAGAGAAAAATTCAAGCCTTTGAAGACACAGTGCGTGCATGCACATCTCTCTCTCTCTCTCCTCCACTCCCAGACTCTTGAGATGCACGGAAACAAATTTTCCATCCCGTGAAAAGTTAAACATTTTCAGAATTGAAAAACCATAAGAAGTGTCAATGCTGGGTCAGACCAATGCTCCATCTAGCCCAGTATGTGGTCTGTGACAATGGTTGTAGTACATGGGTGGGCAATTATTTTGGGCGGAGGGCCGCTTACTGAGTTTTGGCAAGCCATCGAGGGCCGCATGACAGGCAGCCAGGGGCAGATTAATATTAATTTTCTAAATTTTTTAGGGGCCCCGTGGGCCAAATAGAATGGCCTGGTAGGCCGCAAGTAGCCTATGGGCTGCACTTTGCCCACCCCTGCTGTAGTAGATGCTTAAGACCAGTGGTCCTCAACCTGTTTAGAATTAGGGGGCCCCTCCAAAACTTTTTTGAATTTGGCAGCACCCCCAGTTGACAGCCACCATTGTACTGCCTCAGCTTACCTCAATGATTCTTAAACAGGGTTCTCCTGCCTGTGTTAGGATTATCTGATAAACATAAAGCAGGCAGGAGCAGAGGCATAACTAATGAGTTTCATGCCTTGGGGAAAACTCCCCTGTGCTAGTGGGGAGGGGGAGAGGAAGAAGGCAGGTAGTCTTACATGTCCTGGACATCCCTACTAATGACTCCTCCAGCTATGTGATGAAAAGGGTTACCCCAGCCCACTCTGACCCCTCCCAATAGGCAGTGTAAATGACTGCAGCTGGAGCATGCGCTTCTGCCACAGCTTATCCCCATCTGACCCCACATGTTCCTCCCAGCTGGGCAGGTGGGACTGTTCCATGCCTGTCTGCGTAGTTCCCCAGTGGTTTGCTAGGCAGGCTATCAGGAATTGCCTGCTTGCTGAACCTGAGAACCAAGGAAGCCTGGGAGCCCACCAGCCAAAGGAACTGGCTGCCTGGATATATAATTCTCCATCAAATGAACACTTAGCGAGTGGAGCAGTCTGACAAGACAACCAGCTAGGGGAATGGGGCTGCTCAGCTTCACTTTAGAGAGCAGCATAACAAGCTAGCCACTCAGTGTGGTAGCTTGGGCTGGTTTGGAGCTGAAAATTGAAAAAAAAATGGACAGAAAACTGATCTCAAGAAATGTCTCAAACACCTCTACCAGCTTGCAGCTGTACAATACTGCAATTCTTTTTACCATGAACTTTCCAGTGTTATACAATTACCACAGGGTGCTAAACTTCAAAATATGAACTATAAAACACTTAACCTACATTAGCCAATTTATTAGCAGTTCCAACATTTTTGTTATTTGTAAAGAAAGCAGAACTCCTGACATACTGTTTTATATATGCTTGCTTACTTCAGTCCTGGAACATCCAGCAGATTAGTCAGTCCTGTCCAGTTAATTTCCAGAAGCTATAAACAGGAGAGAGAAACGTAATTAAAAACTGCTCTGAGTTCCCAGTGTTGAAGAAACAAAGCTGAAAACATGAATATTGATAACTGGACACGGGTGGAAAACTCATGGCCAGCTTCCAGAAAGTTTCTGTTTTAAAATTGGCCACCCATAGATCAAACAATCTAGCCACTTTAAAACTAAAAAGCTCAAACATTAAAATCTCAATATGAAATGTATGCATGCACTATCAAGTGGCTTTCACATATATTAAACCAGAAATATGCTATAAATCACTGGCCTTCTTTGCTCATAGACACAGATGGTAACCCTACACTCATGTCTTGACAAAATGAGTGATGAAACACAAATAGAACAAGTTTCCTCAAAAGAACTCTTAATACTCAACTTTGCCTCAATTACTGACTTTCATTTTTATTTACCTTTAGCTCATTAAGGTCTAACCATTTATGCCAAGTTTTGGGGTGGTTTTTTTTTTTTTTTACTTAAGAGCAACAAACCCCACACAAAGACAAAAATCTACCCTGAGTATAACCATCAAAAAATGAGGCTAAAAAGTGAACACCACATAGCTTCAAAATGTCCTACTCTCTTATAGGCAGACAAAGTTCCTTGGGTGAATTTGATATCTTTTATTAGACCAACCCAAATTTTTGGGTTGGTCTAATAAAAGATATCAAATTCACCCAAGGAACCTTGTCTGCCTATGTCCTTAGACCAACACGGTTACAACCCAAACCCCTGCTACTCTCTTATACGCTCTTCATTTGAATGGGCATGTGATGAACCAGAGGCATAAAAGCAGTCACTGTTTGTAAATGCACCGTGTCAATTTGCAAGATAAGCACCATGCTCTGAATCCTGTTTGACTTATTACTATCCATTGCAAATCTTTTCTTAATCCAGGCAGTTTGCTTGAGGGTTTATACCTTTTATTATAAGTACTGTATGCTATACACATGTAGATGATGTTTTCTGTAAATATCTAATGCTACTTTGAATCCTAAAAGATCTTCACTTCAGTGAAATAATGAAACAGCTTAATATTAGAAGTGCCTTGTCCCTGAATATATGACCTTTTTTATCAGTTACAAATAAGCTGCCTTTGCATTTAATACCCATTTGGCTCTTGTGTTGCAAAAGTAAATAGAAGTGTTCCTAACAGATACCTTTGTAAACTGATAGTTAAATAGATGCAATGCATGATTATTTAAAGTTCACACAAAAGGTAAATAATCTACAGATTCACTTTTCAGTATAGCAAAATTCAACAGTGCCAAAAGCTTCTTCTGTACTTCCCTCACAAGAAAATGCTTCATACTGGCTTTGAGTAAGAATAAGAGGTTTTAAAAAATGACCTATGAAGAAAGGTTGAAGGCATTATTTCAGTTTCTTTAGAAAAGAGAAAAGTAAAGGAGAAAATGGGGACATACCAGTCATACAGTATTTAAAAGGCTGTTTTAAATGAGGAAGTGGATCAATTGTTCACCCACTTCAAGAAAGACAAGAATAAAGACAAGGCGGGCTTCAGCTTTTTGGACCACGATCCATACTTCAGAACAAGAGACATGCTTGGATGGGATGGGCTTCACCTCTCCCCCAAAGGGAAGCACGTGCTCTCTTTCAGGTTGGCTGATCTCCTCTGGTGGGCTTTAATCTAGGTTGATCGGGGGAAGGGGAGGACAAGTACGGAGGGAGCCATGGAACAACAAACCAAAAGACACCCACAAGATCAGCCCAGGAATGTAGCAAAGATCCTATTAGACAGCAGTTTAAGGGGGGACCAGGGACAGCCACCGGGGGTATTAGGTGTATATACACAAATGCCAGAAGCATGGGAAATAAGCAGGAGGACCTAGAGCTCTTGCTAGCGAGCAACAACTTTGGCCTAGTGGGACTAACTGAAACCTGGTGGGACTCTTCTCAAGACTGGGTGGTGGGAATAGAGGGCTATAGGTTGTATAGGAGAGATAGAGTAGGGAAAATAGGTGGGGGAGGTGCTCTTTATGTCAAAGAACAGTACACATCTTCCCTAATCAAATTAGGGTCAGAGGGTGGTCAAGCAGAGACTCTGCGGGTTAGGATCCAAGGGGCTCGGGGTGAAAGGGATCTGGTGGTGGGGGTCTACTACAGGCTGCCGCACCAGGACGACAAGCTAGACTGGGAATTTTCCAAGCAGCTCAAAGAGGCTGTGAGGTCTAGAGATATGGTAGTCATAGGGGACCTTAACTACGCAGACATATGCTGGGAGGAGCAGTCATCTAGATCTAACTGCTCTTGCAGGTTCTTAACCTGTATTCAGGACCTCCACCTAACACAGGAGGTAAGGTGTCCCACCAGGGGCAACACCTTGCTCGACTTGGTGTTGGCCACAGGGGATGACTTGGGTAGGGGACCTGCGAATTCAAGGCAATTTAGGGGACAGCGATCACCAAATGATAAAATTCACTATCCAGTGAAGGGCAGGTATTATATCCAGCAGGGCATTAAAAAAGCTGACTTTAATAGACTCACGGGATTGGTTAGCAGGGTGCTAGGAGCTAAGAACTTAGATGCATTGAGGGTCCAGGATGGTGGACATTCCTCAAGGAAACCATTCTTTGGGCTCAGAGTGAGTCAATCCCATGGCAGAGGAAAGGGGGGGAAGGGGGCCAGGAAGCCCCTTTGGCTAACCAGGGGCATCCAAGATACCTTAAGGGCAAAAAAAGAGGCGTACAGGAAGTGGAAGCAGGGGACAGCTAACAAAGAGGAGTATACTTCTTTGGTCCGTACCTGCAGGGAGTCGGTCAGGAAGGCCAAGGGAACTCTAGAACTCGGGCTAGCATCAGGAATTAAGGACAATAAAAAGTCCTTCTTTAGGTATGTTGGGAGAAAAAAGAGGGTGCGGGGTAGCATAGGACCCATACAGGACAGGCAGTGGGGCTTAGTGACAGATAGTAGGGACAAGGCAGAGCTCTTCAATGAGTTTTTTGCCTCTATCTTCTTAAATGGGAATCTAGATGAACCCTCAACATATATCACGGACACCAACAAAGGGAACATCAGCCGACACGGTAAAAAGACACTTGGAGGTACTGGACACATTCATATCACCGGGACCAGAGAGACTCCACCTATGGGTAATAAAGGAATTAGCGGGGGTCATAGCTGATCCACTGGCCAGGATATACGAGGTCCGGTCAGGTTCCGGAGGTTGAAAGAGGGCTAACATCGTCCCAACGTTTAAGAAGGGGAGGAACGAGGACCCGGGGAACTATAGACCAGTCAGCCTTACCTCTATCCCTGGGAAAATCCTAGAAAAAATTATCAAGGAGCACTTCTGTGGGAGCCCACTGGCTAATGTGATGCGGAGAGGTCACCAACGTGGGTTTTTAGCAGGCAGGTCCTGCCTGACTAATCTAGTTTCCTTTTATGACAAGGCTACCAATTGTTTAGATGCAGGAGTCGAGGTGGATGTTATCTATCTGGCCTTCAAGAAGGCCTTTGACAAGGTATCCCATACCATCCTTATAAATAAACTGAGGGGATTTGCCTTGGATGATTACACAGTAGACTGGGTAGCAAATTGGCTCAAGGGTTGTACTCAGAGGGTGGTCGAACATCTGACTCAGTGGATGGGTCGGCGTCAACCTGGAAAGGTGTGGGCAGTGGAGTTCCTCAGGGCTCAGTTCTGGGGCCAGTGCTGTTCAACATCATCCAGATCACTGATGAAGAGGGAGTGGGAAGCACCCTGTCCAAATTCACAGATGACACAAAATTATGGGGTGCAGCTAACACCCTGGGGAGGAGGAACCACATCCAGGCCGACCTAGACAGGCTGGGCAAGTGGGCAGACAGCAACAGGATGCAATTCAATAAGGACAAGTGCAAGGTACTGCATCTAGAGAGGAAGAACTGCCATCATACCTACAGGCTGGGGGGCAACCTTCTCAGCTCCACTGAGATAGAAAAAGATCTTGGAGTCACTGTTGACTCCAGGATGAACATGAGTCACCAATGTGATGAAGCAGTTGGCAGAGCCAATCACACCTTATTGTGCATCTGTAGGTGCTTCACAAACAGGTCCAGGGAAGTAATTCTCCCCCTCCATGCAGCACTGGTCAGACCGCAGCTGGAGTACTGTGTCCTGTTCTGGATGCCGCAGTTCAAGCGGGATGCGGACAACCTGGAGAGGGTCCAAAGAAGAGCCACTCACCTCATTAGAGGCCTGCAGGAAAGGCCCTACGAGGAAAGGCTAAGGGACCTTAACCTCTTCAGCCTCTTCAAGAGAAGGCTGAGAGGGGACCTTGTGGAGGCGTACAAATTCATAAAGGGGAGTGCAACATGAAGTAGGTGATGATCTGTTCACCAGGGCACCCCCTGGAACAACAAGGAACAATGACCATAAGCTACTAGAGAGAAGGTTTAGGCTGGACATTAGGAAAAAGTTCTTCATGGTCAGGGTTGCCAGAATCTGGAATGGGCTCCCAAGGGAGATGATGCTCACCCCATCCTTGGGGGTCTTCAAGAAGAGACCGGACAGGCACCTGGCTGGGATCACATGACCCCAGGATTGGTGACTCTTTTCTTGCCTGCCAGGGGCAGGGGGTCAGACTAGATGACCCACGGAGGTCTCTTCCAACTCTATGAATCTAATCTATAAACCAGGTTAATTTTCAATAAAGAAGAGTTAAATTAGATGTTAGAAAAAACTAAAAGCTGGTAAACAGCAGAATAAGAAAACTGTGGAGCTTGGGGAACCTCCTTCACTGGAGGTTTTTAAGAACTGCTGGGTCTGGGTAAACTCTATGCTGCCTTCATACAGGAAGTCGGACGAGAAATTTTCTTGATGGTGTACACTTGTAAGTGAACAAATTCACAGAATTGAATTTCCTTGTCTACTGCAAGTGCCCTTCACTTTCTTAAATATAGTCTATTAATTTAATATAAACTAGCTGACTGCTAAAAAAAATCCACTTAGTAATATGCTTGCACAAGGAAAATAATACAAACATTTCTA